AATGGCTGAGACCACAGGAGGGCAGAACTGACAGCTCGGCCAGTGGCAGGAGCAGTCCCCAGTCCTCACCGAAGCATGGCTGCCGCTGTCCAGACACTGCTCCTCGGGTGGCAGGACAAACCCGGGCAGTGGCAGGGCGGCGGACAAACCCGGTCAGTGGCAGGCCGCTGGGTGCCAGGTCCGACCCTGAGAGGAGGGGCCACAGGTTAGGAGACTGTCGCCCAAAGAAGACAGAACCACCCAGCTGAGCAGTACCCAGAGGCGCCTGGAGAGGTGCTGATGTCCGAGGGCATCTTCGTTCAAGGCAAACCCCTGCAAACCACCTCTGCCACCCTCCCAACAGGAGGTAACGGACAGGACTACCCGAAGGCCCGCATGCGCAGTGGCCCGTCATGGTGAAGTCTAAGGCAAGTGGGGCAGGCTCTCTGGTATGACATTTGCCCTGAGAAGGTTCCTTCTCTGGTCACTTGCCCGGGATGAGCTGGCAACCTTGGGTCTACAGCCTCACAGAAGCATGAGTTTGGGGCCAGCCTGGCCTCATCACGGCGAGGGCAGGCCTTGGGGAATGGGCATCCCGCCAGCATCTCACCTGCAGCCCCTCCCGAGCAAGCCAGGCCACCACTGCCCGGCCCTGGGCTGGTGCTCAGGCCCTCCCGTGCCAGGTCACCGAGGTCCTGCAGGGCCTGCCGCTCCCTCTGGCTGGCAGATGGCGATGGACCCCCAGGGCTGCGGTCTGTGGGGGTGGTGCTATGGAGAACAGCTGGCCTTTGTACACCTGGACCCACCTGCTCCTGCCACACCACGGACAGTGTGGGCTCCTGCGTGATGTCCTGAAAGGTGAGGTAGAGTGACCACATGGCCGTTGTCACCACACACGCATGACAGAGGCCCCCAAACACAGTATAGGTGTAGAACTGCAGAGCAGGACGAGGGTGTCAACCACCACCTACGGCAACCTGGGAGCCTTTCTATCCCACATGCCTGTGGCTTCCGGGCACGGCCGGGACAGACCGGTAGCACCCACATCTGCAGGCAAGTTCACAGCTGAGCTGCAGGGCCCTGCGGCCGCACCCTCCCACCACAGCCTGACAGCCTCAGGTAGGCGGGCCCCAGCTCCAGGATCATCTGTACAGGACTGTCTGGAGCATGTCCAGAATGCAGTCCCAGGCCCATCACAAATGGACTGTATTAGCCGCCCTGCGGCGGCCTGGGACTCTCTATTTTTTTTGGAGAGGGTTTTTTTTTTTTTTTTTTTTTTTTTTTTTTTTTTGGGGATGGTGCCCCCCCA